CAACATATTTTAGATGTTCCCGAGTTGCAAGCAATCTTGTCAAAGGTAAAAACGATCGTTACGTTTTTTAAACAAACCTGTGTAGCAAGTGATGAACTTCGAAAAAATCAGATACCAAATGAATACAGGATGTTCCTACCCGGTGGAACAGCACGTTCTATATGATACAACGTTTTTTAGAGCTTCGCACTATTGTCAGTGAAATTTTGATAACGCACAAAACAGCACCACCGATGTTATCTGGCATGGAGTTGGCTATACTGCCTACACTCCTAAATATATTGAGGCCACTTGAAGCTGCGACCAAGGAAATATCTGCTGAAATATATTGTTCGATCAGCAAAGTAATCCCCCTTATACACTGCATGATTTCGAAAATAAAATCGATTGTAGTTGCTGACCCGATAATGGAGGAAGTGTATAAACGAACAATAAATCAAATTGAACAAGATAGAACGCTACAGTCGAGCAAGCCCGACAGTAAAATAGCCTGTACTCTCTACAAAAAAGAAAAATTAAAAAAAAAATAATTAAATTATTAAAAAAAATGAATGAATTAATTAATTAATTAAATTAGAATACATGTTTATGTTTAGTTTTAACAGCATACATTTACATCACGTACCTATGCGTGTTTATATGCGTGTATGTATGCAGCACAAAGTTGAACCAAAGCAGCAACAACAACAACAGATGCGGGCAGCGCTGCCGACAGAGCTGCAGGCAGCGCATGAGCAGCGATTTTACTTATGGCTATATCTTTCTTCAGAATTGACCTATCATGATGAAATTTGGCACACGAACACATTAGTACTAACTGGATGTCCCTACCAAAATTGATTTCAAAATTCCGAGAATTACGGAAGTTATAAGAAAAAACACGAATTGCGGGGTACAGATACGTGCGAACAAACTCGATCTGCCTAGGGCTTATAGGAACCTTGATACCAATTTTGGTTATCCTAGCTCTTGTACTTACTGAGATCCTTGCGCTCATACAGACAGACGGACATGGCTATATCGACTCGTCTTCTCATCCTGGTACAGGCTATAAAAACGTATGGGCGCCATAGAACAAGTATCAGCATTAGCCATAGCAACAATATTGGATCCCCGCTTCAAAAAACTTCATTTTGTAGACCCAATTGCGTGCTCCAATGCTTTGTTTAAAATTAAAGAGCTTGTGAAACAACAAGTACAAGATAAAAATTGTGCTGCGGGTTCGGACTCTGATAGTTCATACAAAAGTTGTGAGTCAGACTTCAATTTATGGACTGATCACCATAAACTGGTGCAACGGGACTGGAAGTCTAACAAAACGGATGAATCTATGTCAGACGAACTATCAATGTATTTGAGAGCACCAGTAAGCCGCTTCAATGAAAATCCTCTGGAAGTGTGGATGGACTACCAGCTGCAATTTCCAAAGCTACTCAATATAGCTTATAAGTATTTGACAATGGTGGCCAGCTTCGTGCCATGTTTCAAAGGCTGCACAGGTCCTTACTCACCAAAGGAGCCGTTTGCAAGCCAAATGTGTAAATAAAATTCAGTTTTTGCAAAATTTCCCTAAAAACCAATGGGACCTATAGCAATAAATCTTTATGTACTTAATATTTCATAATACACGTACATTTTCTGTTTTTATCATATATATTTAAACTAAATGCGATATATCGAAAACATCGATGTTTTTCGTTAATATATCGCAATGCATCGATGCAATATTTGGATGCATCAAATCGAAAAAAACATCGATGTTTTTTTTACATGAGCATCCCTGCGCTGACTGACTGCTCTGCTTTCTGCTATCGTTTTTCTCTCGCGAATTTTTCTGCAGTTACCATATGCAACCGATAGCAAGGGAGAACACTACAGTCGAGCATGCCCGACAGTGAAATACCCTGACTCAGAAAACCTTCCACCACTGAGTTATATACACCCCTAGTAGAATAATAAATAAGAAGAGCGAGCTTGATGCTGCAGCTTCTTGGCATAGAACTAGAGTGAAAAGGTTTCGCTGATAACTATTCTTAGAATTGACCGATTTAGATGAAATTTGAAAAAAGTAAAAAATTGTATATACATATATAGATTACGTCTGCAATGTTTGGTTTACGTATCTGTTAAATGAAATGTGGACAGTATTATCGAAATTCTAGGGCGGGGGAAGGGGAGGAAATTCAAAAAAATAAAATAAAATCGTCCTTTCTCGGATGTAGAAGAATTTGAATACCAACTTTGTTTATTCTAGCTTTTATAGTTTTTGAGATGCGGACAGAGATTACATTTATGGCTATAACTTTCATCATAATTGACCTATCATGATAACATACGCACTCATTGTCAACATTCGGTTAGTGATTATGTGTCCGAATTCCTAAATTCATTATGATAGGTTAATTTTAAGGGATATCCATATATGTATGTATGTAATCCATGCCCATGCTCTGCCCGAAGCATAACAAGAGAGAACGCTACAGTCGAGCAAGCCCGACAGTGTAATACCCTGTACCCAGGTAAACTTCCGTCGCTGAGTTATATGCGCCCATAGCAACAGCAAAAAGAAGAAGAAGAAGAGCGAACTAGTTGCTGCAGTTTGGGGGGGTTGTACTGGCGAGAATTTGTTTTGCTAATAACTTTTCTTAGAATTGACCGAATTGAATTGAAATTTTGAACAACAATAGACAATTATATATAAATTATGTGAGCAAAGTTTGGTTTAGGTAGCATTTGAAATGTGGACGCTATTAACGAAATTCTGCAGCGGGGGAAGGGGGGGAAAATTAAAAAAAAATAAATAAACTCGTCCTTACTCGGACCTAGGAGAATCTGGATGCCAACTTTGCTTATTCTAGCTTTTATAGTTTCTGAGATCCTTGCGTTCATCCAGACGGACGGACAGATGGACGGACATGTCTAGATCGATTTCTCTCGTCATGCTGATTCAGAATATATATACTTTATGGGGTCGGAGATGCTTCCTTCTGCATGTTACATACTTTGCACAAACCTAATATACCCTTTTTACCCTACGGGTACAGGGTATAAAAACACGATAGTGATATAAATTATGCTGTTAAAACTGTACTCACTTATGTACTCGTATGCATGTACTATATGTATGTATTAAATATTTATTTTATTTATCTATATAATTCTAGCTTAAAATGAAAATCTTAAAGCAAGTAAAAAAGCTAAAGTCGGGTGTCCCGCCTTTGAAATACTCTGTACATATGTTTAGAATAATTATAGAAATTAAAAAAAGATAATTAAAAAAAATTTTTTGAATCGATTTGACCTCTTTTGGTATTTGTACTCACGTAAAGGGTGTGTAATTGCACATATACAAAGCAATTGCGTCTATGTGAGTGTATGTATGTTTATGTGTCTGCGTAAACTGCTATGATGTCAACTAAACAGCAACATCAACCACAGCCGCGGGCAGCGCTGGAGCAGCAAATATATTTATAACTTCTTTTTAAATCGGTCTATCATGATGAAACTTGGCATACGGACACAAATTTACTAACTGGGGCTATTTGCAAAATTGTAGTTCGAAATTCTAAGAATTACGAGAGTTAGAGAAAATCGCGATTTGCATAAGACATCTGCGAAAATGCTTAAACAGACACAAATAGACGCGCATAAACATACATACACTCACATAGACGCAATTGCTTTGTATATGGGCAATTATACACCCTTTACGTGAGTTCGAATACCAAAAGGGGTAAAATCGATAAATTTTTATAGCCTGTACCCAAAGGGTGAAAGGCTATACTAGTTTTGTGCGCATGTATGTAACACACAGAAGGAGGCGTGGCAGACCCCACAAAGTATATATATTCTTGATCAGGATGAGAAGACGAGTCGATATAGCCATGTCCGTCTGTCCGTCTGACCGTCTGTCCGTCTGTCTGTATGAGCGCAAGGATCTCAGTAAGTACAAGAGCTAGGATAACCAAAATTGGTATCAAGGTTCCTATAAGCCCTAGGCAGAACGAGTTTGTTTATTTTTTCTGATACACCCCCCCACTCCCCCGCAATTCGTATTTTTTCTTATAACTTCCGTAATTCTCGGAATTAAAAATCAATTTTGGTAGGTACATCCAGTTAGTACTAATGTGTCCGTGTGCCAAATTTCATCATGATAGGTCAATTCTGAAGAAAGTTATAGCCATAAGTAAAATCGCTGCTCATGCGCTGCCTGCAGCTCTGTCGGCAGCGCTGCCCGCAGCTGTTGTTGTTGTTGCTGCTTTTGTTAAACTTTGTGCTGCATACATACACGCATATGAACACGCATAGGTACGTGATGTAAATGTATGCTGTTTAAACTGAACATAAACATGTATTCTAATTTAATTAAATTAATTATTTTAATTAATTCATTCATTCATTTTTTTTAATAATTTAATTTTTTTTTTAATTTTTTTTATTTTTAATTTTTCCTTTTTGTGGAGAGTACAGGCTATTTTACTGTCGGGCTTGCTCGACTGTAGCGTTCTATCTTTTTTTTTTTAATTCTCTTACTTTTTAAATTTCTTTAATTATTCTAAACATATGTACAGAGTATTTCAAAGTCGGGACACCCGACTTTAGCTTTTTTACTTGTTTTGAGATACTTTTTAAAAAACTAAATATATTTTTAACAAGCCAGATTTGACGAGAAAAAAGCCAAATTAGCAACATTAAATATGTATGTCGATGCGTCATATCATATAACGCAAACGTTTCAGCAAAATAATCAACGAAAGCTCTCAAAGCCGTTGTAGAGTCGAATGGAACTTTTGCATTTCGGCTGAGCCGACTGGGATCTGTCGCGTTCGTCAAAATGACAGCTGCCTATATACACACATACATATGGTTCATAAATATGTAGATTTATTTATTTATGTATTTTGTTAAAGTATTTTTGATATTTTTATTACTTTTAATAAATATAACATATGTATTATTATTATAACATTCATATATATTATTATATTATATACTTTCACTTAATATTTATTTGGAATATGTGGTCCAGGCGTGTTGGGTGTATGACGAACCGTAGAGTCCCATGTGAGCGATCGCAGCTGCCCCAAGGATAACACTTCCTCAATGGCCCGTTTTGCCAATATTTGCTGAGTGGGGTCCAAGCGGCGAAAGGATGTCGCCCAGCTGGTCGCATAAATCTGCGCTTCTTCGGCAGTACAGGATAGTGGAGTTGGTTGTGGACTTGGTACTCGATTGATGCGTATGTTATTGGCTTTTAGGTGTTGATAAAGTTCTTCAACTGGCGAGGGTTGCGTTGGCTGATGATTCATAGCTTGCATTAAAATTGGTAATGTCTGTCGTGGTGCCGGATTCACAGAGAGAATTGGTTGTTGATGAGGTACTTCAGCTGACGAAGTTGTGGCCATTGTGACCAGATTTGTAGATTGTATTGTTTGTTTGGGGGAAACTGTAGCTGATCTTGTATCGGAATCTGACTCTAGATCCAACACCTCTTCGATTACTTGCAATGCGTCTTGTTTTATATCAAGCTCATCATGAGACAGAAATTCTAGCTCAGAATCTGGCGATGAAATCTGTTGGTCTTGGCTCGTTGTTTCTTCGTTAACTATGTCTTGTGTTTCGTCGTCGGAAAGTGAAGCGGGTTTTTCATTCCATTTGTAGGCCTTCGCTCGGTCGCTCCAAAGAAATCGCATCTGTTCGTAGTACCACAGCGTTGAAGTGTAAGATTCACCTTTACGTTTCGCATCTCGCTCTCTCCTCCATTCGCGTCTATGGCTGGAACGTATGCCCAGCAATCGCTGACGTAGACGCAATATATTTGCGCCCGGCTCTATCTTCTGATAATAAGGCAATAGAGCCTTCAATGCACGTTCTCGTAACCGAGTCTCCCCAGAATCATTGAAACGTATGCCCCAGAGAATCGGAAACGTTTTGTATGCCGCCACAAATGCGTTCCAATGTGTCAAATCTGCTGGCTTTCTTACTTTTTTCATTTTAATTTGCAGCACAAGCGCAATTGTAACGTATCGATTCAAGACCAGATACAAACTGAGGCAGAGAGTCGCTCGGGAGCTGCTTATGCACTCACGAGTATAGTTGAAAACGGTGGTGTGTGAGTGACCGGACACGCGAGAGTAAAAAGAGCATGGACTATTTCGAATACATACTATGTATAAACATACATATGTATGTACATATCTACATGTACCCAGTTATACATGTTGCGTCATTTCAAGAACGAAAAAGTCTCAGCAAAATTATGCTCCCATAACCATTCAGCTGTAGAGCCGAATGGGAGCTGATGCTTGTCGGCTCGGGTAGTTCGGATCTGTCGCATTTGTGCCTCAGTGAGCGAATTTTGTTTTCATTTGTGGAGAGGCACTCAAGTGAGACGGTCGATCTGCTCCGTATGTGTATGCTGAATGCATGTGTATATACAAACATACATAGATAAATGTATGTACATATGTATGGGGATGTACACTTTGTTCTTTTGAGGCTTTGCGAGCTGTCCCTATAAAAAGCGTACATACTACATATATGTACATATGTATGTACATACAGTTGGCACACCAATTATTTGTACACCCTTAACTTTTAGATTTAATGTATTTTAATTTCTGTATTTTTTTCGGCTCTTTATTTAATATAAACAAAATTTAATTAATATTAACAACAAAGCCAACAAGGATAATTATTACACATTCACATTATTACACTACATCTTCATACCAAAAGCTTTTTGATATACATATGTATGTATGTATGAAGTTTACAAATAATTTATGTGCGTAAAAAGCACTTTTTTGAATTGCTTTGAGCTTTTTTCTATGCTAAACATGAGTTACATATGTATGTATGAATGTATGTACATCTGTATATTGTTATTGTTTTTGAAAATATATAATGGTATGTAAATTGTTCATATTGATCAAATAATTTTAGTTTTAATAAATGATCCCAAATATTCTAACCATTAAAAGTTAAGGGTATACTAATAATTGTTCTGCCAACTCTATCTACATACATGTAAAAGGTACATACATAGATATGTACATAGTATGCTTTTTAAATTCATTTTTAGAATCACATGCCCATGCAGTTCACAAAGCAGCAAGAGAACAAATTGTACACACACATGCATATACATATATATATTTACATACACACATGCATACAACATTCAGCGCACACAAGCGGCGCAGACCAACCGTCTCATTTGACTGCCTCTCCGCATATGAAAACAAAATTCGCTCTCAGAGGCTCGAATGCGCCAGATCCGAGCTACCTGAGCCGACAAGCAACAGCTCCCATTCGGCTCATCGACAATTTTGCTCGAATGTTTTCGTTGTATAAAATGACGCAGCTATCTACATACATACATATGTACGTGTATGTATACGTTGTATTGTTTGTGAAAAAAAACAAACAAAAAGCAACAACCGAACGGCTATAGAGCCAGTCGCTGGCAATTTTGCTGCGCTAACACATCTTTGTATGTATGCATGTATGTATGTACATATGAACATACATATACATGTGTATATTGAATGGTTAGTGGCAGCAACAAAAGACACAAAATCGAGATGGCTAACTCACTTATGTATACACTACACATTGAACTTGTATACAAATACTAGGAGGTCTTGCAGCAAATTTGTACGATTCGAGAGCTAGAACATAAAGTACAATAAATACTATGTATAGTTATACATACATATGTACATATGTATGTACATACATATGTATATTTATGTATGTATATAGTTTGACAGGGATAAATCAATGTAAATAATTTCTAGAATTGAAAGCTGTACAATTTGGCAAAGTTATTTGGTCTTAATTATGCAATTGCACAACATTTAAATGAGCATACACACATACACAGAGCAAAATTTTAAATCGTCCACCTGGGACGGAAATCAACTTCGGATTATATTTTGTTTAATCTTTGAAATTGAATTGAAAATTGTCCGTTTACCTACAATTGGCATTTGAATTAATTAAAGTCAAATGTGACAGCCAAAAAATAAATCGTCCACAGTGTTGTTAGCGACTGAAACTGGCTATATACTACTTGTATAATGTCTTGTTAGAATTGTTGCTGTTTTTATGGTCTGTACCCAAAGGGTGAAAGGCTATACTAGTTTTGTGCGCATGTATGTAACACACAGAAGGAGGCGTGGCAGATCAGGGTCGATAGTCGATATAGTCATGTCCGTCTGTCCGTCCGTTCGTCTGTATGAACGCAACGATCTCAGAAGGTACAACAGCTAGAATAACCAAACTTGGTATCCTGATTCCCTTAAGCCCTAGGCAGGTGAAGTTAATTTTACTCTGATACTCTGTATAAATGCTGAACAGTCTGTCACTAATTTAAATTTGATCCTCTAGAACTATGTACTATGACGCATTGAATCACTCGGTGATGCCTTTTTGCTCCAATAAAATACTGTATACATACGTTCTTCAAATTTCTGGAATAACGTAGCGCCGAATCCTTCTATTGACGCATCTGTATGCAGTTCCGTAGGTGCACCGCGACAATATAATCTCAAAACAGGTTCGTTGGACAAAGCGTGCTTTAACTCAGCTATAGTTTTTAGTTCGTCAGCTTCCAACTTAAACGGGACATCTTTCTTGAAAAGGTTTGTTAGTGGTCGAGCAATATTAGCATATCCTTTGATGAATTTCCTAAAAAAGCCTGTGAGACCCAAGAATGACTGAATTCCTTTGATGTTTTTGGGTTTTACAATATTTTGTACAGCGTGAGTTTTCACTGTCCCAAGAAATTAATTCTCTTTTCCAAAAAGCTGCACTTTTTCCACTTCGCCGCCTTTTCTAGTACCAACTTAAATTTTTTGATGCATTCATCGGCAGTTTCACCATAGATAATGATGTCGTCGATGTACAAGGTAAACAGGACTTTTTGAATCTAGCGCCCCCTGGTGGCCCTATCTATATGTCGACTGGTGCGTTAGAATCTGCTATCTTTATCGATTGTCCAGTGAGAATTTCATGACATTTCCTCGATTGGAAGTGAAGTTAATGCGTTTTAAGTGTCAGTGTGTTTGTGTTATCGGTGCGTAAATGAGCTTCGAACAAAGAGCCAACATTAAATTTTGTTTTAAAATTGGTAAAACTTTTACCTAAACGTTTCAATTGATGGAACAAGTTTATGGCGATGATTGCCAATCCCGTAGCACAATGCACGAGTGGTTTCAACGTTTTCAAAGTGGTCGTGAGGACATAAATGACGACCAACATGTGGGCCAATCAAAATTCGTAATCACCGAAAATTCCATCGAAACTGTGCGTGAATTCATCAAAAATCGGCCGAAATCATCATTGAAATTGATGGAAATGGAATTGAACATCTCCAAAACATCGATTTATCGCATTTTGACCGAACATTTGGGCTTACGAAAGGTGTGTGCACGGTTTGATCCGCACAAATTGACTGACGACCAAATATTGCTCAGACGATTGACGCTTGTGATCGATTATTTGACCAAAAATCACATTTTACCATTAACCACTCGCCGTATTCACCTGATATGGCTCCGTGCGACTTCTACCTTTTCGAAAAAATGCATTTGCCCATGAAAGGAAAACGTTATGCAGACGTAGAGGCCATTCAAAAGGCTTGCCCCGGCATACTGGCGGTCATACCGGCCAACGAGCTAAAACACTCGTTCGACATGCTTTTGGATTGATTTTGCCGAAAAAACCATTTGTTCTGTTTTTTTTTTTAAGTCCTGTTTACTTGTACAATTTCATTACATCGTTAGCTATGAGTTTATGGCACACGTAGTTAACAAGACGCACGAACGCAGCTGGTGAGTTGCAAAAGCCAAAAGGCGCTCGATTAAATTCGTATATTCCTTCTTTTATTATAAATGCTGTGTATTTTCGGCTGAGCTTTTCGATAGGTACATGGAAGAACCTATTTTCCAAGTCCATTACTATAAACATTTTAGCAGCTAGCAATGTTTCAAGTACATCGTCGATCAGCGGAACAGGGAAGCAGTCTTTTAAAACCATTGTAAAGAAGTTATTTTTTTCAGCTGGGGTAATGACTCATTTGTCCAGGATTCCTTACAAGAAATTTGTAAGTTGCGGGACCTTGCGACCAAAGGGCTCGATGCACATTGTAGGGGCCAATCGGCAGCGACACGTGGAATTTGTACTCACTGGTTGATGCCCGGTAAGAGCAAATTCGACGCGCCTACCAGTCTGTTGCCGTTTTACAACTGCGGTTAATGGCCCAGCAACTGTAAAACGTCGCCAGTCTGATCCGCCGATCTCATGGTTTTGGTGTTGTATTTGCCTGTTAGTGGCCCAGCAAATATAACTACCAAGACTCAGCTCAGAGGGCTACTAATGTCCGCTGTATATAAACTGTACTCACGCAGAGGGAGAAATATGCAAGAAATAAATCAATGCGCTCTGAAATATTTCGCAAACTGCCTTTTATTTATATTATAAACACTGTTGGCCCTACGCTACACCACGATTGTTGCTTGATTACGCAGACTTACTCAGATTAGTTAACTTAGGTTAACTCCTGTGCTCGGTTGCTGGAAGCTGGGGCCGAAAGTACGTCTGCATTGCTTGATGGTTCGCCGGAGAAGAGAGCGAGATCCCTTTTTCTAAAACACCTATGCAAGCGTGGGCGGTGATGCCGGCCCGTTTATTCTCCCCCTATTCAAAAGACCATTGCTTCGTAACTCTAATTGGCAAATAAAGGAACTTTTGTATGCGATATTCAATGTGCAATAAGGTAACAAAAATGTGCAATATTCATCTGTGCAATGTAAAACAAGAGAGAACGCTACAGTCGAGCAAGCCCGACCGTGTAATACCCTGTACCCAGGTAAACTTCCGTCACTGAGTTATATGCGCCCATAGCAGCAGCAAAAAGAGGAAGAAGAAGAGCGAACTTGTTGCTGCAGTTTGGGGAGGTTGTACTGGCGAGAATTTGTTTCGCTAA